TGTGTGTGTATGTGTGTGTGTGTGTGTGTGTGTGTGTGTCCGCACCCCTTCTGGCTCAAGGGGAGCCACAGCGGCCACTGCCGCGGGGCCGGGGTCGGCCCTGACCTCCGGCGTGCCCTGGGAGGGTAGGAAAGAGCGCCCCGCCCCAGCCCTCCCCCTTCTGGTGCCATGGCGGGCGCCCATGTCCGCGGCGAGGAACCCATAGCCCGCAGCCGGCGCCATCGCCGCGAAGCCGCCACGCGCCTCTGCGCCGCGGGCGCAGCCGGCGCTGCGCGCGGCGTAGCCGCCGACGGCGCCGCTGGCGCGGGATCCCCCGCGCGCGCCGCCGGGGCCGCATACGCCGCGGCCGGCGCCGGCGCCGTGGGTGCTGCTGCCGCCGCGCACGCCGCGGGCGCCGCGCCGCCAGGCCCGCGGCTGGCGTTGGCCACCCGCGCCCTGGCGGCCCTGGCCGCTCTCCCGCGGCCGCTGCGCCGCCGCGGCCGCCGTTGCGGCCGCCGCGCACACCCAAGGCCGCGCCGCCGCGGCCTCTGGCGTCGCCGAAGCCGCGGCCGATGCCGTAACTAACCCCAGCCGCTGCCGCCGCCGTTGGTGGAGGTGGGCCTGTCACCTCCATGGCGGCGGCCGCGCGGCCGCCGCTGCCGCCGCCGCAGAGGCCGTTACCGCCGCTAGCCTCTGGGCGGCAGCGACTGCACTGGCGCGGGCGGATGGGCACGCTGCGGCTGGGGCGTGCTGCCCTGGCGCCGCGGCCGGCGGCGGCGCTGGAGGGAACAACCCACCCGACTTCAGCGCGCAGCCCTGCGCCCTGCCCAACGCCCTACTCAGCGCCCTGCGCGACGCCCAGCACCCCAGCCTTCCCGAAGCTTCACCCCCGTACGACCAACCCCGCGTGTTCAGCTACAGCGCCGGAATCGACGATATTGAGTCTGATGAGCAGTGGCTGCGGGCCACGACGCTGCTCTACGAGACGCTGGCTTCCAAGCTGGAACCCGACGTCCACCCTTCCGCCCTGCCACCCGTCGCCATGCCCTACGCCCAGCTTTCTGCCTGCCCTCCACCCCGCGTAACACCCAACCTTCCGCCTTTCTCGATGGTTCACTCCACGCCCAACCCAATGCCATCAACTGCAGTGCCAGGGTCCGCGCAGACGGAGTTGGAGAACAATGGCAGCGGGCTGCGCCGCTGGTTAACGGAATGCCAATAGAGAAGATGGAACGATACGCAATCAAGTACAGTGGCGGGGCGGATGACTGTAATGGAGAGATGCGGCAACGGGACAGGCCGCCGCACGCCGACGCGCTGGGTGCAGCGGCGGTGCCCAACGCGATCAGCTACAGTGCGAGGGTCGTCGAGAATCGAGAACGGGGATGGAGAGCAGTGGCATTGGGCCATGACGCTGCTCAGCGAAGTTCTTGTTTCCGAGCTGGCTTCGGACGCCCAGCCCTCCGCCCCGCCACCCGACGTCAATCCCTGCGCCCAGCCCTTCGCCCACCCCTCCACCCTGCAAGACGCCCAGCCCATCGCCCCTCCCGACGCCTCACCGAAGGAATGGGGATGGAATGGGCTGTGGGCCAAACCTCCCTCCCGGTCAAAACCGTGCTGGGCTTGGGCCCTGGCTCCCCTGTGAAAGCGGCTTGGTTCCCGTGCGTTTTTTCGAGTTCGCGCCCTGCCGTGACCCGACAGAACACCCTGGAAAGAAAAACAAGAAATAACCGATCGCACTGGCCCCTCGCGACGACGGCGGCGCAAGGGCTCCGCTCGTTTAGCCGAACTCCGCGAAAAGATCCGCAAATACTGCGAACGTGCCACGCACCCTCCCTGCAAACATATACAAACATAGGGGGGCGGCGAGGAAGGGCGGGGAAGGGGGCGGACCAAGACGGGCCCGCGACCGCCGGAAACCCAGACGAGCATACCGTCGAACATAAACATGCGTCAAGAACGAAGTGCGAAGAACACCCCCCGCCTTAGAATCCCAAGCAGGGGGCTCTCAGGTCAACTTTACCCTGGAGCCCCAGCCAGTAAAAGTAAACAGCAAACAACAGAAAACACCCAGGACCCAACGACGAAAACTGGCGCAATCTCGCGGGAAAAGGGGAGAGTACTGGGAGACGCCCCGCCCGAAGGCGGGGCGGCCGCGCGGTCCCGGTCCAAGGTTCCTCCCCGCCATCTTGGCAAGGAGAAGAACTAAAAACGTGAGGGCGCCGTTAATGGTCTTCCGCGGCAATCGCCTCGCTGGTGGAAGATCGGCTACAGGGGAAGCGCGAGGCAGTGGAGCCGGAAGAGGTGGAAGTTCAAGCGACGACAGCCATGGCACATATAGACAAGGACGGACACACACCGCATATCAAGTCGAATCCAGCCGTAGAAAAGAAGATTGACGAGACACGCGAAATAATGGGACGACAGAGAGGACCAACAGGAAACATGCGACTCCGAGAGAAGAAGTCCAAGGACGAATCCAAGGAGCTCGAAATTTGCAGAACCAGCCTCATGGCAATAGTTTCCCCCGCCGCAAGATGCCGTCGTTCGGTCTCCGCGCTCTGTTTTGCGGGGGGTTTTACGGCCCGGAATGCTGCCCCCCAGTAGTAATTCGACCGTTGGCTCCAGGGCCCCGCGGGCGGTGCCTCTTCAGGAGCGGGCGCGGGAGAGCTTGGCGCAGGCTGCTGGGGTCTCGATCCTGAGTCGGGCACCAATGCGAGCTGCGTGCTTGCCGAATCTGCCGGGGTCTCGATGAGGAGTCGGGCGCCGATGCGAGCCGCGTGATTGCCAAGTATGGCTCCTAAAATGCGTTGTAAAGGGCCGTGAAGAGCACGGCATAATATGGCGCCGCGCGCTGCGCCACTGGGACTTACCGCGACTCGCGCAAGCTCGCATCTAACAACGCCTTCGGCCCAGTCGCTAACTTCAAAGAAAATTTCACGGCGCCGCCAAGACGCCGGGCGCCGCTGCGGGCGCGGCGCGGTGCGAACATCGCGGCGCGCCACAGCAGACAGAGTCGCCATGGCGTCGGGCTTCCCCGCCACAATTGCTTCGGCGCCAGGTTTTCCCGCTGCAGCGGAGACAGACCTCGGCGAGTACTTCGCAACGAGTTCCCCCGCCGCTGAGGAGACAGACCTCGGCGGACGCTTCGAACCAGGTTCACTCCCAACTTCGGCACATCCCTCACACGTTTCGTGCGTCCATAGGAACTTCTACCGAAGGCCTCAGTTGCATGATTCGCATTCGGTTCCACTCCCAATTTCGGCACCCCCCTCACACGCTTCGTGGCCCCATCGGGAACTCCATCTAACTCCCTATTGGCAGGGTTCGAATGCGGATCCCCCTATTTCGTGACACCCTTCATACGTTTCGCGGCCCCGTAGGGAGCTCCACCGAAGGCCCCAGTGGCAGGGTTCCCATGCGGTTCCACTCTCAGTTCGGCACACCCCTCACACGTTTCGTGGCTCCGTAGGGAGCTCCACCGAAGACGATACTCACAAATGCGGCACTCACAGCTGCATTACACCAGAGATAACCCCAATCAGAGGATGGTTTGAAACTTATTGCTATGGATGATGAGATCGATTGTGATATCGATCGTGGAATTGATAGTGAAGACGATTGTAAGGTCGATCGTGAGACCAGTAGTGAAGTCGATTCAATGAGATCGATGATGAGATCGATCGTGAGATCGTTCGTGCGATCTATAGTGAGATCGATTGTGAGATCGATCGTGAGATCGATTGTGAGATCGACAGTGAGATCGAACGAGAGGTTGGTAGTGAAATCGATGGTGAGACCAATCGATGAGAAGATCGACCAGGAATCCGGGAACCCGGGAACCCCGCCGAAATCGGCCCAGAACCAATAACCGGGAACCCGGGAACCTGGAACCGGGAACCCAACCTGCTACCAAAATCGGCGGGAAACTTTCGCCAAATCTTTCAACTTCCGCGAGGACCCCTTCAGTGCGAGCACTGATTGGGGAACATGGTTGGGGGTTTGGCCAGGCTAAGTTTGTTGGCCACCATCGGCCGAACTAGCTTAACCATCCGCACCAAGCTAGCCTCGCTGCCATTCTTTCTCGGAGATCCGAGATCTGATAGCAGTGAGGCATTCAAGTGGGGCTGCTCGGGCAGCCAATTGCTGCCGTCTCGAAGCGGTGGCGTATGCGTATGCACGAACCTCAGGACCCCACACAGGCACTTCCTGCGCCGCGCAAGTAACGTGCACATCACGCGTGGGGGTGCTAGACTCGCTTGAGGCGTGACCACGCGTTCGCTCCGCCGCTATGCTCTTCTGGCTGGCAACGGGCCGCCGACTTCCTGATCTTCTCTTGCGTGTAACTACCACGCACCATACGGAAGAAGAAGGGCAACTTCTAGATAAACTGAAGCTCACGAAGTGCAACATTGTGGGCTCGAGTTCGGGGCCCGGCGGCACGTTGCGCGAGACGCACAGTTTCGTCACGCCCCCAGTGGGGGGGGGGGCCAATGGGAGCCCTTGCGGAACGCAAGGGTGGCCAGCAGGAGGATGAGGGTGCGGAGGAGGCGGCCTTTCTGCTTCTCTTTCGCTGCTGTCGGCCACCGACAAGGACCGAGTGGATGCCGCGCAACTCGCTGCCCAGCAGAAAGCGTGTGCGTGTGTGTGTGTGTGTGTGCGCGCGTGTGTGTGTGTGTGTGTGTGTGTGTGTGTGTGTGTGTGTGTGTGTGCGTGTTGTCTGTGCGTATGTGTTTGTGTGTGTGTGTGTGTGTGTGTGTGTTGCAACTGCCTCTCACCTGGGATCCTAGACCCCACGGCTCCGTTCGAGTACACGCCTCAACGCAAACTGCGCAACTAAGTGACTTCGTGTCCCGAAGACGTGCGACCGATATTTGCTGCACGGCGGTGGTGGAGGAGAAAGTGCGTGTGTCCTCGTGTGCGTGAACGCGTGCGTGGAAGGCGCGCGTGCGTGCGTGCGCGCGTGTACGTGCACGTGAGCGTGAGCGTACATGTGCGCGCATGCTTTATGCATCCTCTGCCTTCGAGAAGACCTCGTTCGTGAGCAGCCCCTCCATTTTGGACGCCAGCATGCGCTCGCTTCCAGCTTCGCGAAAGGCCTGGCTGGCCATCGACGTGAACTTCGGCAACCAGTACGGCATCTTGCTATGAGTCTGTGTCCTTGAAGCGGCTTTCACGCATGTCAGTCTTTCCATTGTGGGGAAGCGGGCTAGTGCCAATCGAAATGCGCTCCATAAGTCACGTGTAGTAGCATTCACATGCTTGACACAAAACAAGGCGTTCCAGCTGAATAAGCTGAAATGGGGCATGTGCTGGGCAATGACACGCTAGATTTCTTATACTCGCGGGTTTTTCTAAAAGTGCCAATAAGACCACCCTTCGGATGATAAGGAGGTTGGGGTGGGTGAGCGGGTGCAAGTCTCAGTTTGCGATTGGCCTTGGATCGGACTCGCAATCTGGCTATCTGAAGAGCTCGCTGCGCATCCATCGGTATGACAATAATTCGGGCTCACGATCGGTCCGCCGATCCCGCACCGCAAATGTCAATCGAGCTGTGTACCTGCTGGTCTCACTATCAATCCGAGAGAGCGCGCCACGGGAATTAGCCACCCGACTTGGACCTCCCCTGTCGGACCCCCCCCTGCCTATGATTGTTTCGTGCTCTACCCCGCGGCCCCCTCCTTGTGGCACCCCTGACGGAAGCCCACCCACCCCTACCCCTTCCTCCTGCGACCCCTGCAGTCTACCTCCCTCCCTTTCACCTGCCCATTTGGAAGCCACCCCCCCTCCCTCTGGTTTTCACCCCACGGAATCGATCCCCCCCTTTGCGCGTCCCCATCCAGAAGCCCCCCCTCCTGCCCTTTCCCCAACACCATCTGCTGGCTAACCATCCCTCCCTTCCTTGGACCTCCCCAACCAGAAGCCCCCCCTCTTATTCGAGCCCCGGAAGCTACCCCCTCCTCCTTGTGGCACCTCTGCCAGAACCCCCCCCCCCCACTCCCCCCCCCCCCCTTTCCCCGTTCGACCCCTGCAAGCTCCCCCCCTTGTACCTCCCGACTCGGGAGCCCCCCCCGACACTCTGGCGACAACGGCGACGACGACGACGACGACGACGACGACGACGACGACACCGACCGACGACGACGAAGATGACGACGACGCCGCCGCCGACGATGACGGCGACGACGACGACGACGACGACGATGGCGGCCGACGACGACGATGACGACGACGAGGACCAGGAGGACGACGACGACGTGCTACCCCCTGTCCCTATGGACTTCCCCAGCCCGAAGCCCACCCTCCTGCCCCCCCACTCCGACCCAGTCTTTAGGCTTTCCAGTGATCCAAACCCTCGTGAGTCCTGAGGAATTGTCGAGGATCCGTCGGGATATGTTTGAAATCTTTCGGATGTGCTCGATCGTCGAATGTACTCATCGCGTGGCACCGCATAGGGCGGGAACAAATGAAAGGCTTCTCTGCGCATCGCATGGCAACCCTGGAAAATGGCTGCACTGAGGGGGCAGAAGCCATACCATTCTCCGCTACTCGCCACACAGCTACACCTGATGGACTGTAGGAATACAATCTCATTATTTCTCCCGCGTGGCAACACTGTAGACGGAAACCTGACTATTCGACTCGACTTGTCACGTGGCAACGCAGGGGGGCGGAAGCACATACCATTTTGCTCTACCCATCACAGGGCTACGCAAGAGCCAGGCGGCTCGCCATAAAGATCCGAAATCCTGGAGGTTCGCACGTAAGAAACCCGAAGAACCCTCTAGGAATCGTTTGGAAAAAGCTGGGCTGGATGTCCCTCTGTTGTTCGACTCGTCGCGTGCTAATGGAGCTGCCCACAGCTCTGACGATGTGTTAATGGAGCTGCCTTGAGATGTTATGCTGTGCTGTTTCATGGAAGACACTCCTCCTCCTCCTCGCCACCCTCCTCCTTGCCACTGATTCCTCCTCCTCCTCCTCCCGATCCCCCCCTTTCCCCTCCCCCATGGGGGGAGGAGCAGGCGCCTGGAGACAAGTGGGGCTTGCTACCCCATCTGATTATCCGGCATCCTCCGGCGGCGCGCGGCGTGGGAGCGCTCGACCTGGAAGTGCTCGGGAGTCCTCGCGAGTGCTCGGCCTTCTGTCCTTCAGGGGCGTCCGAAATCCAGGCCGCCGCGCGTCGGGAATCATCGCTGGTGGAACGAAATTCGGCATACGCATAATTCCTCGGATGTCCGCGCGGAGCTCCGAAAGTCTATGTTCAGGCCGTTTTTTTTTTTGAAATCGCGACCGACGTTTTTCCCGCCTTTCTCGGCCTCTGAAGCCCTTGCTGGGTTCTGGGGCGCCAAACATCGCATCGGCGGCGGCGGGCCACGTCGGAAGGCGCCCGAAACGGCCGCACTGGTCGGCCGACGCTGCATTTGCGCGCCCCGGTTGGAATCCCGCGGGACGAAGGGTTCCGTTTACGATCGTTGTGGGAACAACCCCTGGCGGTCCCAGAGGGCCGAAGGCAGGCAGCGAGGGAACCGAAGGTGACCACCCCGACAGCTGCCCCGCAGACGGCCGATCAGCAGAAGCAGCTTGTGCTTAGATGCTATGGCTTGCTTGATTGTGACCTCGGTTGGTTTCTCGCGTTAGGGGGCCAGGCAGCACGAAGGAATGCCAGCTCCGACAGTGGATGGGCTTCGTGTGACGACGAAGCCTCCGACTGCTCAGTTTAGTCACTCTGTCTTGTCCCACCGTCTTTAGGACCACTAGCCATTCCATTCCAGCTCCTCCTGCTTCCCTGCTTTCCCCGGGCATGTCATGTTACATCTTCGGGGGGGCCTCGTCTGTCCCATCGCGTGTCGAATCCGCGTCGAATCCATGCCGAACGGCCGACTGCGTCGAGTCCGTGTCGAATCCATGTCGAACACCGTGTCGAATCCGTGTCAGACCGTGTCGAATCCATGTCGAATCCGCGTCGAGGCCACGTCGGAGTATAAGAAAATACCGCACTTTACACCACAGGAGCGGGCACCCGAAAATGCAACGTAAGACGTGGTCCGCTCAGCGGACAAGCAAGCCTCGGGAAGGGGTCGAGGCCCGCGGGGGTCCACGCTATGAGTAAACCATGACGTCGGGGGCCTGCGAAGCGGGATCATCAAAAGGGGCGTCAGCAAATCAGCTGCGTGCAGCTGGTGATCCTCAGGGCCCCCCTGAAGCAGGACACTGCTAACCAGGGCACTGAACATCCCACATGGAAAGAGCGAGCCTATGGGGCATTGGCTCGACCCACAGCTGCAGTTTCCTGGGGGTTGACCAAAATGTCTCCGTTTGCGGGGCCCTGATTTCCAGGCGCCCCGAGGCGCTGGCAGCGACCACTGTAAACCAGAAGAGGGTGCATAACCAATCTGTGTCCCCAATCCGTAGGCGTGTGAGGACACCACGCAGCTCGAAGAGCTGCGGCGACCGCTGTGTGGCGGTCCCCACTTATGATCCGCAACACATGCAATTACGTACGTATGTAATGTAATCCCACCTATATGTAGACAGTGTAACAGGAGAATAGAAGACACCAGCCCACAGAATAACTGAAGTACAACATAAACCGACTGATGGCACATGCGATCCAAATAATAACCATTGACACATATATGTAAACAGTGCAACTGGGGAATAGAAGACACCAGCCCTAAGAAGAACTGAAGTACAACAGAAACCAACTGTTGACACATGTGATCAAAATAGTAACCATTGAGAACGGTTATAAACCATGGTCGGAACAATTGGGTGCCTGTGGTTTCTTGTGTCGGTGGTCCAGCGCACGCTGCCGCATGCTTGCCATATCCAACACCATTTTTGTCCAAGTGGTCGTGGTCCTCCTGGTGAGGTCCTCTGTCGGCCAGCCCAGCCGGCGGGTGAGGTCAGCCGTTGGTACCGCGATACCCTGCCAGAGGTCGGCGTTGGCTGTGCACACCCAGTACATGTGGTCGAGCGTCGGGACGTGCTGCTCACCGCAGTGGTCGCAGGTGGTCGAGACCTCCTCGCCTTGGTTGGACTGCAGCAGGGCGTCCGAGACCGCGCAGCCGCAGAGGACGGCGGCGATGTGTGAGGCGAGGATTGGGTTAGCTTTCCGTGCTTCCTGTGCCGCGCGCGCGGCAGCAGCTGGAAGGGCAGTCCGGCCGCCATGGGGCTCTCCCGCCGGTTCCGGCATGGCGGTGGGACCAACGCCAGACCGGAGCCATTCTGGCTCACGCCACCCCTGCTCAGGCTGTGCGCCGCCTGGGCCGCGTGCCCACCGCTCGGGCTCGCGGCCCAGATGGTGCTCGCGGCCCGCCAGGCGGCGGTGGAGGCGGGCCGTGGGGCCCTGCTGGCCACGCATGCCGCGGCTGGGCTGTCGTGCAGCGCGGAGGCGAAGGATGGCACGCGCCTCCGCCGCGCAGCCGAGGGCCTCCTTCGGGCCGCGGTCGCTGCCCTGAGTGCGCCGCCCGCGCCCGCTCCTCCCGTGCTGGCGGTCGACGGGCCCGCTGCTGCCGCACGTCGGCGGCGGCGCAGGCCGCGAGGTCGTGGTTGGGATGGCGGTGCAGGTCGAGCTGCTCACGGCGGCATCGAGGAGACGGAGGATGCGAAGGACGTGGTGATGTCCGGAGGTGGCGGCGGGTGCAGCCCTGTTGCGCCGCCCTCAGCCGTGCCGGGCGACATCGTGGCGGTCGCGTTGCCGCAGCGGCAGGCCGCAAGCCCCCGCAGCAACAGCAGCGGCGCGGGCATGCTCGTGGACAAGGGCACGGGCAAGGGCGAGGGCAAGGGGACGCCTGGCACGGCGAGTTCCGCCTCCCGCGGCGGCAAGGGCAAATGCGCGGACAAGGACAAGAGCACGGGCAAGGGCGGCTGCGACGCCGGCGGCCGCGCCGCGGCCCTGCTCAGGCGCCTCAAGCAGCCCGTCGTGTGGGACAAGATCGCGCACGACCCCCGCGAGCTGGAGCTCCAGATCGGCGTCCTGGAGGAGTTAGCGGCGGCGGTGTAGCCCCAGTGTTGACGGTCCCGAACCCTCCCAAGGCCACTTTGGCTAGGAGGCTAGGGCGGCACTGGGGGCAGGAGCGGGGGCCCCTGGGGGGGCTCTTTGTGGGCTCGGGGGGGCCCGTGAGCCTCCTGTGGAGCGTGGCGACGGCTGCCCGGCTGCCGAGCAGTGCGATGGCGGTAAAAAAAAGAGGCCCAAGCCAGCTGCACGCGGCAATTTTCGCCGCCCCTACGGTGAGGGCATTTGGCGAGGAACCCTGGGATAAGGAATCCAGGGTCTGAAGGCCGATGGAACAAATTGAGGCTTGGCCATGGATATCACCGCCGCCCTCATCGGAAAAGGAATCCTCCAGGGTCTGAATGCTCCTGGGCACATTCCTTAACGAACGCCCCCACCGTATTCCCCTATTCCCCCTTTCGTCTACTCCGATCCTTCCAGCCCTCAACGTGGGAGTGCTCGGCGTGGCGCCCACCGGCGTGGCCGCCCCTGGCTCCTGGGCACGCCATTTTTTTCTCGCGTCCCGGCTGGCGAATAGGAGAGAAATAGGAATGGGACGCATCAAACAAGTGGATGGCGAATGACTGCTATACCGTGAGCAGGACTCCACTGTGGCACCACGGATTTGGAGCGCCATTGGTCGGCCAAATATGCTTAAGTACATCACTCACGGGGCATCGGGGCTGGCTCCAACGAGGCACTGGCCAAGCGGCGAAGACTGGGAGGACTTGTGGAACGGTCTGGTGATCTGGTGGCCAAGGGGCAGCCTGGGAGGACCCGTTTTTGCAGTCAATGGGAGAAGACTGGCCCTGACGGCGAAACGACCAGACACAAGCAGAAAACAAACACTATGATGTTAATCTTCCAATCAGGTCAGCAACCTGGTCGGGCAGACCACCAACTCCGCTGACGGCACCGGTTGGGTCCTGAGCCAGCGGGTTTTCGAACATGTCCACAATTGCAAGAGGCCAAGAGGCCCCCAAGAGGCCCCAAAAGGCGACAAGGGGCCCGAAAGAGACCCCAAGAGGCTCGACAACGACTCCCGAGAGTCTCCAAGAAGCCCTCGAGAGGCATCCCACGAGATCCCAATGAACGTCCACGAAGCCTCAGAGCGCCAAAACCATTGATTGTCATTGTGGTTTTCACAGTGTTTGGCTTCCTCGCCTTTTCGCCTTTCCGACGCTCCAAGACGGCCCAAGAAGCTTCCAAGACCACCCCAAGACGGCCCAAGAGGCCTCCAAGAGAGGCCCACGACCGTCCAAGAGAGCCCCACGACAGCCCAAGAGGCGCCCAAGACGGTCCAAAAGGACCCCAAGAGGGCCCCAAGAGAGGCCCAAGATGGAGACCACGAACCGAAAATCCGAGCCTTCCGCTCCAAGAGGCCTCCTGGACGCCCCAAGAGGCTCCTAAGAGGCCCCAACAAGCGACAAGGGGCCCGAAAGAGACCCCAAGAGGTTCGAAAACGACTCCCGAGAGTCTCCAAGAACACCCTCGAGGGGCATCCCACGAGATCCCAATGAACGTCCACGAAGCCTCAGAGCGCCAAAACCATTGATTTCCTTTCGGTGTTGCAAGGTTTTCGGCTTCCTCGCCTTTTCGCCCCTCCGATGCTCCAAGACTGCCCAAGAAGCCTCCAAGACCAGCCCAAGAGGCGCCCGAGACAGCCCACGAGGACCCCAAAAGGGGCCCAAGAGGGGCCCAACATGGAGACAAAAAGCCTGCAGGACCACCCCAAGACGGCCCAAGAAACCTCCAAGAGAGCCCCGAGACCGCCCAAGAGGGCCCCACGACAGCCCGCGAGATCCCAATGAACGTCCACGAAGCCTCAGAGCCCCCACCCAGGCACGGTGGCGAATGTGACGAAGGTAATTAGATAAAACCAGCCGCCGACCCTGCAGCTCCGCACCGCTCCAAGAAGCCTCCCGGGCACCCCAAAAGGTTCCTAAGAGGCCCCAAAAAGACGACAAGGGACCCGAAAGAGACCCCAAGAGGCTCGAAAACGACTCCCGAGAGTCTCCACGAAGCTCTCGAGAGGCATCCCACGAGATCCCAATGAACGTCCCCGTCCTCCTCCGCCTCCTCCTCCCCCTCCTCCTCCACCTCCTCCTCGCCCCCCTCCTCCTCCTCCTCCTCCTCCTCCTCCTCCTCCTCCTCTGCCACTCGCCTTTTCCACGCTCGCGCTTCTACCCTGCTACCCCCAAAACCCCGCCCCCCCTCACACACGACGACACATAGCAGCGGAGGGATGAAGTAGAGAAGAAAAGGAAACTGCAGAATGTTGTCTTGTTCCCTGCGATCGTATTCACGAGCCGCCACCTTCCGAAACAGAAGGTTCAGGCGGGCAAAGAATGGTTCCCGCCTGCGAAATCACCCAAAACCAGCCATCCATAAACAAAAAAACGACCCAGCAACACCCCATTGACAACGATCACACGGGCACTCGACTGCCGTGCACCAGTACGGGCCGGCGGAATGAGCGAAGCGATTGAATAAACCATGTCCACCGCGCAGCGCGCAGCCGGGAGACTGCGCCACTGCATTTCCTCGGGGGCGCCACCCTGGAACCGCGGGGCGCGCTGGTCCTACGCAGCGAAAGCAAACGAACATGGGGGAGCCAGGGGGGGGCGCTCAACCGCCCCAGAAACATCCACTGCAACTCCTGCGCATTGTTTTCCTCAAGCAAAGTGGCTCGTGCCCCTCCTTCCCACAGGGGCCCCCCAAAGTGACAATTTGTTCAGCTATAGGAGCGCTACTAAGTGAGCTTTTCTCGTCCGCTAGAGGAACGTTACAAGGTGGCCTTTCTCGCCCCCCAGAGGAACATTTCTGGGCGTGTCCCAAGGCCCAGATAAGGCTACCGCGGCGGTGCCTGCGGATATTTTTGCAATCCTCCGGAGCCCGCGCCAGCCCCCGAATTGCTGCCCTCTCCCTTGGCGGCGCCCTGTCTTGCAGGGGCCTGACAACCCCGACGCCGCTGACCAGGCTGCGTCCCATGCCCACGCCGGCCGTCTGGTGGCAACAGGCCGGGGCGCCGCCATGCCCCGCGCCGTTTGACGGCCAACTCGACACCAAGTTCTGGCCGTCATCCACGGAGACCCCTGGCCGACTGGAAACCCTGCCCGTAAGCGGGGAAACAGACAGGCGGATCACCCGCCGCTTCGACACCAGCGACCGCACCAAATTCCCATGCCCACAGCGCGTTCAACGCTGCCCCTGAGGGCGCCCAAAACCTAGCGAGCACGCCTCCTTGCAGCACAGAGGCACCGATTCATCAGGTATTACCTTGGCCAGTGCGCGAGTCACCGATCGGGAATGCGCGCGCGCGAACTTCACGGGCATGGGAGAATCCGAACATGATTTCTCGACGAATTGCTAAGTTCTGTGTTACAATTCCCACGAAACGCGGTTCTAACTCCGCGGCTGCGGGCCCTGACGGACCTACCGGCGGCGCTCCGCTACCAGGCGCTGCGAATCGGGGCGGCGTTGAGCCGACTAGCGCGCATGCTGCACCGAGATTGCGAGGCCGATGGGGAATAAGTTCGGGCGATCGCCCGCGCCTCTCGGAATCGCGAGGAACTCCCGTCTGACGCCGGCACGCGCGCGCCGATGACATGCAATCGCACCTGCGCTGCTGGGGGCACTCGTTTGGCGCGGCGCGCGCAATGCAGCTGAGCATGCAATGTCTGTTGCTTTGCGGGGGCCGCGTCCAACAAAACGTGTGCTGACCCAGTTCAAAGGTCCCGCTCGCCGCGCGCGCAACGCCCCCCGGCGCGATGGCCAACGCGCTGGCCGCGCTCATCGAGAGGGCGGGGGCACCAGGAAAGCAAATCTAGGGTCTGATGGGTGCCCCGGGGGGTAGGAGCCACAGCTCCCCCAGTTACCGCTGGTTTGCAATGGGGCACTTCCCACCGCGTCCTTGAGTCCGCGCTGACGCGCGGGCGCTTCAACTCGAGTCGGTGACTTGGGCGGGCGCGGTATCACGGCGACGTCGGCAACGTCGTCGACTTGGTGGGCGCGATGATGATAGTAGCGCTGATGGTGACGATAACGACAGCAAGGCCGACGATGGTGCCGACTCTGACCACGGCGGCGGTGACGCTGTCGTTGAGTCGGCGATGAAGGTGTTGAAACAAATCAACTTGCATGCGCGCGGCCGACGCGCGCGAGCGGCCCGCATGGCATTTTTTGACAGGGATCGCGCCCCCCCCCAGCACGCGCGCAAGGGCGTTCGAATGATTCCGATGCACGCGCGCGCGAAGGGCCCATTTGGACGAACGTGTGGGTTTTCTGAAACAGACCCATGGTTTTCTTGGAAATTCGCAAGAACGCACGCGCCGACCTGTGGTCGAACAAATTGTAAAACTTGGCCGTTCACGCAATCGTTTGCTTCAGCCCGACGCCCGAAACTTCGCTGGCAAAACCCATGCGGCGGCAATCGCGATGAGCGCTGGATGTTGGCTGGTGCACCTCTGCGGCCGCGCTAGCCCTCGCGTGCTCGCGCGCGCAAGGGCCTGGTAGTTCGGCGCGATCGATCGACCTGGCCGCGGTGGCGCTTGCCACTGGGCGCCTCCCAACAGGCACTTCAGTGCGAGTCGGCGACGTGGGCGGGCGCGGTATCATGGCGACGCCGACAACGGTATATTCGATAATGATCGTAGCGATGATGATGGCGATGGTGACGATGACGACGGCAAGGCCGATGACGGCGCCGATGCTGATCACGCCGATGGCGATGACGATGTCCTCGCGTCGGTGGTGGAGGTTTCGGGAAAAGGGTTCGACATGTGCGCGCGGCCGATGCGCGCGAGTGGCCCGCGTGGCATTATTTGACAGAAACCGCGCCCCGCCCAGCACGCGCGCAAGGGCGTTCGGTTCGAATGATCTCGATGTGCGGCGCGAGAGGCCCGTTCCGTCAAATTACACGGCACCGTTGAAAACAATTGTTTGTTTCTTCTCTTCCCCCAAAAAAAGATTTCGCGAGGGCGCGTGCGCGGGTTGTTTGAAATGTAGGTTGCACAAACCATGTGTTATTACATGTGTTGGCGCACTCGATGCCAACCCCTTGCGAAGCCCACTGTTTTGGGCGATTTCGGCACGCGCGCGCAACGACGCGCGCGCGTGCACTTCGCCATGCCGCTGTGCAAAGGATTATTGCGACAACGCGCGCGCAAGGGCGTTCCAACGATTTCGGCATGCGCCCGCGGGAGGCGCGTTTGGTCGCATTCGATGGCGACGGTGAAAGCACCTGGGGCTTCCTGAGAAAATTCGCAAGAGCGCGAACGCATGTTGCCTTGGAGACTCCTGTTGCGAAACCGTCGGTTGTTTATATGGTTTCGGGGCTCTCGGTTTGGAATTCCGTGCGGAAGCCAATGTGTTCGGAAGATTTCGGCATGCGCGCGTGGCGACGCGCGCGCGTGCACCTCGCCCCACGTTTGCAAGGACCGTTCGGAAACTGATGGTTCTTGCTGGACGAGTGCGCGCCCATCTATTTTCAGCAGG